CCACCGCGACGTACGAGTATGCGCCATTTTTTATACGAGTGTGTGTGTGTGTGTGTGTGTATCTGTGTGTGTCTTTCTGTGGGTTTTCTGCTGCTTGTCGATGTGTGGAAATTGGCAATGCAGTTAAATGCGTGCTGCATACGTTTTTCTGTCTTATTGCCTATAACGCCGCGTTGTCAGAGCCATTTCATTTATTTGTCTGCATGTTTTTTACGCTTTTCTGCTTCAATTTATTTCAATTTGCCATTTCTGTGTGCAGTTTGTCTTTCCACTCGACTCCACTCGGACTGGCGAAAACGCTGTTCCCGTCTCCTCTTCTTCTCTCTCTCTCTCTCTCTCTCTCTCTCTCTCTCTCTTCTCTGGAAGCAGTTCGAAATGTGGCCATATAATTGGTTTCAAATCAATGTTAAGTTACCCTTAGCATTGATAAACTCTCCCCTTCTGACTGAACCTGCACCTGCACCTGGACAGACCCAAACCCAGACCCAAACCCAGACCCAGACCCGCATGCTGGATGCACTGATTGATCGGGAATGGAATTCTACGGACTTCACACTACTCCAGCAACGATAAGGCACTCGAAGGCAGAAGAGCCCTACTACGTACATATATATATATAGTAATGGGGATATTCATACCTCCAATATAGTTTACAAATGAGTTGCGCTTGTCTTGCCTTGCCTATTCTGCCTTGAGTGGATACACCGAATGCTCTTCCATAGAAAGTGATTTTCCACGCAAACTATTTAAAGCTCAGTCGTTTATTTCAACCTGCTCCGAGAGAGATTCCCCATTCCCATTCTCATTCCCATTCTAGTCCATTCCGGTTAATTCCATTCCATTCCATTCCATACGGCAATCGGTTTGATTTGTCACATGTTTTTTACAATTTGTGGGTCAATCGCTCCCCGGACTGGCATTAGCCTTTGTTGGGCACGTTTGGCTTTGTTTGCAGTTAGCCGATGAAAAAAAAATTTCATTCACAGCACAGCACCGGAGCACAGAGGCACAGAAGCACGGAAAAAAAGTTGGTCAGCATTAGGAGACGGAGACGGAGACGAAGACGATGGCCGCGACGGAGACGGAGACGGAGACGGGTGCGAAAGCAACAACAAAAAAAAGTTACACGAATTCAGAGTCAAAGTCAAAGTCGGAGCTGGAGCTGGAGCTGGAGCTCTGCGTGATGCCGTTACCGCACATTTGTAACAACTGAAAACAGGGAAGACTGGTCAAGACGAGCAGAAGCGATTTGACTGACCATTTCGCTCGCAGTAGAGCAGAACGGCCAGCTGAGAGCGGGCTAGAGCGGAGCGGAGAGGAGCGGAGCGGAGCTGGTTTTAGCGGAGCTTGCTTTTGAGCAGGTTGAGTGAAAACTGCACACCGAACTACTCTTGGCCAAGCCGAGCGTAAAACCAGAGAGAAAGAGTGAATGAAAGACAGAGATAGAGACAGAAATAGAGATAGAGCTGGAGCTGGAGCTGGAAAGTCTTTCCCCATTCCAATTCCCATTCCCATTCCCATTCCCCTGCTGAGCAGCGAAACTGTGTGTGGAATAACTGTTTCGTCCGAGGTCTGGGCTCCGCTCTCCCCACTCACCTCCCCCTCCCCTCACCGGATGGTCAGTCAGCCTCTTCGGCTTTGCCATTTGACGAGTTTTCACGCATAAAATGAATTTAATTAAAAAACTTCAAAAAAAATAACGCATGGGGCATGGGGCATGGGGCAAGCGGTATGGGGGCATACGAAGCATAACAAGACGTTGGTGTAGTGCAAACACCAGACGAAAGCCTCAACCAGGAAGTACCCTGGATAGCGCTACTGTGCAAAAGCCAGCTAGGGAGCTATGATCCGCCAAGTGCTGGTAGCTGGTACTCCCCCCAAAGAGAAGTGAAAAAGGAGAAAACAAAAGTGAGACGAGTTTACCCAACTAAATACGAGTACATATTGTCTGTATAGAAATTTAAATATATACATATATATATATATGTACATACACACTCGTATATATTCCAGCGACGAACGTGCGCCAACTATGAATATCATCCATGCGGAGTGACTTACTCGTACATACTCACTCGTGTGTATATGTAGATGTAGATGTAGATGTAGATGTGGAAACCAGCTTTAGGCCACCGAAACCCACTGAGCTTTCAAACGCGCAAAAAGATTGCATCTGCCCTGACGGATCGAGACTTGGGATGCTCATAGCCTGAGGAGAAACGTGGCCCATTCCAACATTACGGCTCGTTTCTCGATTTTCAGCCCGATACTGCCCTTTACGGCCGTAGCCATGACTACGACAAATCAAATCCCAAGTCCCTTTCGGCGTTTGTTTTCAAAATAACACGCTTAGACTTGGACTTTGTAATCGATCCTGAGTCGCGTGCGTTTGATGCTGATCGCTGAATAGATCGCATAGCGCTCTCGGAAATAGCAGTTTTGGTTCCCCCCTTCATTTTTTTTCCATAATTATTATATGGTTTTTGTACGAAATCACAGAAAATCCACTCAGTTCCATTAATTTTCTTATCTTATCTTTTTTCCACAAGGCCCTAGCAGAGAGAGCGAGCGAGAGAGAGAGAGAGAGAGAGAGAGAGAAGCTTACATGTGTACAGTTGCGGCAGAAATAATAGCGCTGTTTGGTACCACAGTCTTCATTGTTCCAAAATACGATCACTATTTTGCACTCTACTGTAATATCAATTACATGTCTTCATTACATATAGAAAAGTTAGTGTCACGGTGCTTTTATTTATGCCAAAGGTGTAAATATGTATGTACATACATACCGACTGAGTAGCGGGTATAAAAGTAGAGGCGCGGCAGGTGCGGCGCACAACATTCCCCCTCGTGGTTCCCTTTAATTAAAAACTTCGATTGAACATTGAGAATTTTCTATGATGTCCGCTCTCGATCACAGACTAATTAAAACAATTTTTCGCTTGTATTCGTATGTATTATTGAAGTGCCTAATTTTCGAGGAACAGAACAATGTGAGTTATATAAATTGAACTTTTCACAATAATCTCTTTGAATGAGTATGGCTAAAATGTATGCCAAATTTAATAAAGAAGAAGAATGCAGTTGAAATTCACCGTTTTGTTTGGATATTGCTTTAAATATTTTGATGATCCTCCTGAACATATCTCTTCAACTGCGCACGCATATAATTGGAAATCAGCTTGATGTCCTGCTATATTCAGTAAATTCACGTGTCGCGGAGTGTACGTATGTGCGTACATACTCGTAAGTAAAGTGAATTGGTATCCGAACAGGTGAAAATTTTTGAGTAACTTTGTGTGCACAAATCTATGCATCTCTAAATTTAAATGAAGTAGTAAATAAAGTAGATAATTTACGACCGTTCGAAACAAAGGGAAAGATGTGGTAGTACATACGACAATCAACTCACAGGTGGAGATACCACCTATCTAATGTAGAGCCAAAAATTAATTTTATATGCACTGCGTGCAATGCAATGAACCTTAACAGCCCCCACGGTAAATGTAGCCGTTCCATGGGCCTAGCGATAAGAATAGATTATCAACTGTACCTCCCACATTGTTTGTAAAACTGATATAAGGACCTGATGAAAGGCCCTGATTTTAAGAATCAAATTTAGTTTGAATTTAAGTCTTAACACTCACTTTTGAGCTTTGTACATTTGTACACGTACATATGTACATATGTATGTACTTTCGCTTTCTCAAGCTCCTTATCAACAATAAACATACAGACATGCCATCACGGGACACTGGCAGATTGGCACACACGATGCCAGACTGTCAATCCCTCATAACGACTTCTGTAGAAGCTGCAGGGACGAGGAGGAGGAGGAGGAGGAGGAGGAGGAGTCGGTCCCCCACTTCTTCTGTCACTGTCCGGCCCTGGAAAACCGTAGGCTACGGCTCCTTGGGGCTCCTTTCCTCACCGACATTTCGGACCTCTCCGAAATCAGACCAGGGATATTGTCCAAATGCATCCAAGCCACCGGATGGGACTGCTCTTAACTCCGCAATCGGATTGCTCACCACGGTGTAGGGGAGAAAGGGTACACACCCATGCGGCATCACAACGGTCCTGTAGCAGGACCAAGTGAGTTGGGGTGGGGTCGATTTCCCCCTCTCTCCAACTACCGCCTTAACCTAACCTAACCTAACCTAACGCTCTTCTTGTGTTCTTGCTATACTTACATCAAATTAAGACGTTTTTCTTACAACTCGAAGCAGTTATTGGATTTAATAGGTAGTGTCTATCTTGAGCTTGAAAATGAAAAATGAAAAATAAAAAAAAGAACTATAGCTACAAATTGTAAATACATAGTAGCTGATAGTGGAAGCAGCGGCTGCACGAGAAGCTTTTATGTCTCTGAGGCTGCTCGCTTTATTCACATGCACGCAGCTGCCGCTGCGGAAGCCGAGCAGTTGTGCATAGGGCACACGAATGCTTCTCTGCCGCTGCGGAAGCCGAGCAGAATATGAAGCCGCTTGTGCATAGCCCGAAGCTTGTTTCTCTGCCGCTACGTCACCCGGGCAGAATAACGAGATCATACGAAGTCTTTACGCTGTACGTGTGCCGGCTGCGCTGCCCAAAATTGTCTCCTATGCACAGTGCATAAGACGCTGCCGGCCTCTGGCTTAGAACCACCTTAACCGACTCAGCCGCTACACTAATGCTGTCCGAAATAAGGAAAAGTAATACACACATATGTACATACATATACATACATATACATATACATATGTGTGTAACTACGATAAGCAGCGACTTCGTTGGAGCTTGTCTGTGGGGTTGCATGCGAGCTTTCGGCTGCAAGCATTCAAGCTCAAAGCTGCTCAAAGCTTTAGGCGAAAGCTCATCGAAAGCACGCAAATAACTCAAATCGAAGAAAGCTCCAAGTCGAGTCGACAAGAGGCCCATAAACAAATAAAACGGGAAATCTCTCAGTTCATGCCAAGCAAATAGAGTAAAGGTGTAAAGGGGGGCGTTGCGGGACTCACCTTCCGGAACTCCTGCACGAAGGTGGTGATCATCGACTGGATGGCTGCTGCCCTGGAGGCGTGCAGCGCCAGGTGCTTCCCGTTGCGCATGTTCAGCTGGAGGGCGGCGGGCCGCGGCAGGGTGACCGCGTTCTGGATCTCCGCGAAGGAAATGGCCTGCACCACGATCAGGTAGTCGGCGTCGCGGCGGGCCAGGTAGAGGCCGCTGTGCGAGACGCCCATTATGCTGACGTCCGGGTAGAGCGGGGCGCCTTGCACCGCGAACAGGCGGGAGAAGTAGAGGGGCCAGTCGCGGGCCATATCCACCAGGTGGCGCTTGACCAGCGCCCGCACCTGCTGGCCCCTGGCAGCCAGCGTGTCCACGCTCACCCCGTGACCATGGAGCATGTTCATCGCGGAGCTCTTTTCCTGCGGCGTGATGCGCAGGCACGGGGTCACGCCGAACACGTCGCTCAGAACCTGGGCGAAGAGCAGATCGAGGGCCACTGGCGGCCCAATGGCCTCATGCGGCTGGAACACCTCCTTGCGCACCCGCAGCTTCCATGGCACGCGGTTGTACGTTAGGCAGGCGCTGGCCCCGGCCCCAGCCATGGCCATGGCCATGGCCACGGATCCGGCCCCGGCCACGGAAGTACCTAGTCCCGATCCGGTCCCGATCCCGGTTCCGGATCCGGATCCGGTCGCTGTGGCAACTGCCAGTCCGGGACTCATTCCACTGGACGACGAGGAGGCCGATGCTGGTGGAGGGGGCACAGGGGCCGGCACCAGGACGGGCGGGGGCGTGGCAATCGGCTCCAGCTCGTCGCGCATCCCGGAGCTGGCGGAGCTCTTCCGCTTGCGCTCGTGCTCGTACTTCTGGGCCATGTGGGTGCGAAACGTGGCCGGAGTGCTGGATTTGCCCATGGACATGGACATGGACATGGTGTCCATGCTGGCCTGGATGACGCGCGGCGGAGCCGGCTGGTACACCTTGTGGCTCTCCTTCTCGCGCTCCACCTGTCGCAGCTCGTAAAGGCGCTCACGCTCCCGCTCCCGCTTCTCGCGCTCCTTCTCACTGCCGCTGCCAGAGGCCGGGCCCTCCACCTCGGCCCGGTCCCACACGGACTCCGAGTAGTCCTCGCGGTCCCGTGACCTGCTCCGGCTGCGCGACCTCTCCCGCTCCGCCTGCTCCCAGGCGGCAATGGAGGATGCCGAGTGCTCGTCACTCAGGTGGTGGTGCTGTTGCTGGTGTTGCAGCAGCGGCTGGTGGAGCTGCTGGAGCTGCTGGAGCTGCTGGTGCTGCTGGTGCTGCTGGAGGGCGCTCTGGCGCACGGCGCCAAAGGTGTCCCGCTCCTGGCGCTGGATGAATGCGGGCACGTTCTCCTTGCGGTAGTCCGGCTCCGGCTCGGGTGTGCGAGTCCGCTCGTGTGCCGCTTGGGGGGCTGGGGGCGGAGCTGGCGGCGCCATGCTCGGCGGCCGAATGGGCGGCGGGGGGGCTGGCACACTTGGTGCCGGGGGCAGAAGCACTCCCGGCCAGGCACTCGTGGGCGGGGCCGGCGGCGGAGATAGCTTGCCCTCCATCCGCTCTATCTGGGTCCGCACCGTGGCCAAAGGCTCGCCATGGCCGTGGCCGTGGCCGTGGCCTGCACCGCCACTGCCACTGCCACCACCAGCGCCACCGCCACCGCCACCGCCACCGCTGACGCTGGCAAATAGTCCGCCCAGCTGCTGCTGGAGCATCAGCTTGCGGGTATCCTCCAGCTTGGACGGGGCCCGTTGCTCCGACTTGTTGGACACCGTGGAGCGAACCGAGTGGCCGGCAGTGACCTGCTCCAGGCGCTGGCGCATCTCGGAGCTGAGTTTCAGCTTGCCCACGCTGCCGGGGGGTGGGCGATCGGCCCCGATTTCGAAGCTCTTCTTCGCCAGCTTCGTGCTGGTCACCATGGACTGCTGCGCCTGCGCCTGCACCTGTGCATGTCCCGCATCCTGTACATCTCTGGAGGCAGCCGCAGCCGCAGCCGCAGTCGCGGATGTGGTCGTGGTCGTGGTGGTGGTGGTGGTCTCCATGCGGATGCTGCTCCGCATAAGCTGTGTGCTCAGGCTGCTCCCCATCATCATCGGCGCCGGCTGCGACGGCATCTGGCTTTCGATCTCGAACTCCTCCCACTCGATGGCCGTGGCCGTTGCTCCGTTGGCGGACAGCTGGTGCTGGGCCTGCGGGGTTGTCTTGCGCTGCTGCTGGCGCATCTTGAAGGCGAAGAAGTCCTCCTCGGTCTGGAACTGGGGCTCGCCCTGCGGCGGCGGCCAGCGCCACTTGCCGATCCTCACGGTCTTGGCCCGACCGTACGGGTCAAGGAAGTGGCGCGTCTCGGATGGGTCCTTGCACTCCAGCGGCGGCGGCATCGGCGGCGGTGGTGGAGGCGCCGGCGGGTTAACCGAATCCATCGCCACCAGGCTGCTGCGCGTGGCCCTCATCCGCAGCGGCGACTGCGGTGGCGGGGGTGAGATGCTGCCGAGGCTGGCGAGGCTGCCCATTGCCGGCGGCGGGGGCGGAGGGGAAGCAGAGGTGGCGGCCGCTGCTGCCGCTGCCTGCTGGCTGAGCAGCGTCTGGAGCGCCTGGTTCTGGGCCAGGAGCTGCTGCTGGATCTGCAGGTTCTGGGCCATCGCAGACTGGAGGAAGGCGCGCTGCACCTGCTGCTGGTAGAGGACCGGGCCGGAGTCCGTCTCCCCTGGCATCTGTATCAGCTGATGCATCAGCGGATCTCCTCCGTTGCTGCCCCCCGCGGCAGTGCTCACGTGGTCCGTGCTGCCACCGCCCCTGATGCAGTCCACCAGCTGCGGCTGCGGCTGCCTCCCCGCCAGCTTATTCAGAGAGTCCGCCACCTCGATGGGCTCCAACAGCGCATTGATGTAGTCATCCAGGCTATCCAACTCCAACTCCTCCCACTCCGCATCCACATCCACTTCCGAGGCATCCGCTGCATCCGCTGCATCCGATGCGGTTTGCCTTCGGCCTCCTCCTCTGATGCTCGCTGCCAGGGATCTGGCGTCGGAGAGCTCGTCCAGGGAGCCGTCGAGCACCGGGCTGAATAGGTCGTCCAGGAACTGGTCGACGTCGGAGGCCTGCGAGGGCACCCGCACCCGGCGAACGTGCGAGGCCAGGGAGGGGGCCTCGCTGGTGTCGGACATGGCCGAGGAGCGGGTCGCGTACTCCGACTTGTCGACGTACTTGCTCGAGTGGGAGCCGTGCGAGGCGGCGTGGGAGCGGCGCGCGGCGTTCTGCGACTTCTGGTAGCGGGGCGTCGTCTCCTTGCCCATGGGCGCCAGCCGCTCGGCCGAGTGGTACCTGTCGTTGAGGCGGCTCTCGGAGAGGCCCAGCGTGTGCAGCGGCTCCTGGGAGTCGCAGTCGGGCAGGGGCAGCGACTGGCCCGGCGCTATGTCCCCGGCCAACAGGTCGTCCAAGGACTTGGAGCGTGACTTGGCCTGTCCCGGGCCCGGGCTCGGGCTCGGGCTGGGGGAGCTCGGCTCCCGCTCGAAGTAGCGTTCGTTCAGGGCCGAGCTGCGTGACAGCAGCTCTCGGCTGCTCCTCCGCTTCTGCTGCTGCTGGTGCTGCTGGTGCTGCTGGTGGGGCTGGTCTGCCTTGGGAGTGGTGGTGGGTGGGGCGGGGGGCGGTACGCCTGGCCGCTTCACAGCCTCGGGCAGGGAGGTGCGCGTGAACTTGGCGCCGGAGCGGAGCAGGTCGCTCCTGGGGGCGGGAAAGGCAGGGCACAGCTCCTTCTCAGCGATCAGATCCATGACGTAGTCCAGGCCACAGCTGTCCGTCAGCTGCTGGCCGTCGTCCAGCACTATGGTCCATCCTCGACTGGCCACGCCCAGCGTGGACACTGCCAGAGCCGCCGCCTCCTCGCAGGAGGTCCACGAGTCGATGGCCACCGTCTGGCTGGCGTCATCTGGCAGCGTGAGCGGCAGGGCCATGTCGCAGCCGCGCGCCCACGAGCGCCACTCCAGCCAGGCGGGCACAAAGCTGCGGCACGCGACTCCGCCGGATCCGCTGCTCTGCTGGCGCAGCAGCTGCCGCAGCAGAAGGTTCCGCATGGGCGCGGGAGCCTCGTCGTCGACAAACTTCATCAGATACTTGCTGAAGGCGGGACTGGGCTGGAAGCAGCACAGGCACTGGCCGAGCAGCTGCCACAGGCGGGTGGCCTCGCCCGAGGCGGACCCCAGGCCGTGCACCTGGTTGCAGATCTGCACCACGATCTCGTCGCGCAGACCGCGAGAGCTGAGCGCCTTGTGGACGATGTAGTCGGACAGCAGCTTCTCCTTGGGCCCCTCCAGGGCCTTGTCGTTGCTCCATCGCAGGATCAGCTTGAACACGGCCAGAGCGTCCTGGAAGTCCTGGTCCCTCGACGCCGCTCGCGTGAGCAGCGGGGCGGAGATGGGCTCGCGGCGCGGCTGCAGCCGCAGACCGTTGCAGTAGACGCTGCTGAACTTTCCGAACGAGAACTGGCCCAGATCCTCGGGCAGCTGGACGGCAGCGGCCGGCGGGCCGGGCACCGTCCCCACCACCTTCACCAGGTGCCTGTCGCTGTGCGGCGGCGACCAGCCCTGCAGCTTGGAGTAGATGAAGGCCAGCTCTGCCGGGATGTCCAGGTAGCTCAGCTGGCTCCTCTCCAGCACTGCCTGCTTGGCCTCCCGCGCCTCGCGCGATCGCTGCGCCGCCTCCCGCGCCTCCTGTCGCCGCCGGTGGTCGGAGCGCAACTGCTGGACGTGCCGCCTGGCCTGGTGGCCCCTCCACAGCCGCTGGGCGGTGAGTGCCCCGCGGCGCATTCGCTCGAAGTTTTGCTGCTGTCGCTGGCCTCGCCACCGGGCCTGGAGTCGTGTGGCCGCCGCCTGGCGGCGGCTCAGATGGCGCCGCACGAGCATGCCGCGCACATGGCGCTGGATGCTGACGGCGGCGTGCCGTAGGCGATCGGTCCGGCCGCTCTCGAGGGCGCGGTGCAGCGCCTCGCGAAGGAAGACGCGGGTGGCGCCCAGCTGATAGTCCGGTCCCTCGACGCCGGTGCGCGGCATCGCCTCGAGCAGTGCGCGGCAGAGCTCGCGGTAGGGCGTGCCGCGGGCCAGCGGAGCGGTCAGCAGGTGTCGGTAGCGCTCGACAAAGTGCTGGAAGCGGAGCCGCACCGGGTAGCCGCGCTGCCTGATCTGGATGGTGTCGAGCATGCCCAGGTAGCGCAGCTGCTGCAGCACGCAGGGCATGTCCATGCGCAGGGCGTGCTTCTCCTGGTTGGGCTTGATGCAGCGCACGAACCAGGGGTGGCAGCGGCCCATCGACTGCAGCAGCTGCTGCAGTGAGTCCGCGAAGCGCGCGGCCACCGTCGGGGTGCGGGGCTTCATGGTGACGAAGCGGCCGTTGCTGCCCTTGGGGAGGGTCTTGCCCGCGTCCCGCTGGGCCCGCAGCTGCTTGGTCAGCTCGGTGACTAGGGTGAGGCGGCTGGAGGCGAGCAGCTCGAGCACATCGCCGCGCAGGGCATCCCGGTTCTTGTCGAGAAACCCGTCCACGCAGTACCACACCTGCCCGGCGTAGTGGGTGACGCCGAACTCCTGGGCCCCGATGCGGGGCCGAGCGTACAGCTCGCTCAGGGCGTGGTTGTAGTGGCACTTCTCGAGGAAGCTGAGGTCCGTGGCCCGGGGGAAGTTGGACTCGTCGTCGAGCAGGTGGCAGATGCCCACTGGCTTCTTGGCCAGCAGGTGGATCACCGGCAGGTTGTCGTCCCAGGCCAGGGGCGTCCACTCGAGCCGCTCGCGCGCATACTCGGCCTGCTCCAGCTTGAAGACATGCTTGTTGAAGTAGAGCTGCAGGTTCTCGTTGGCGTAGTTGATGCACAGCTGCTCGAAGCTGTTCTCGGCCAGGTCCTCGAAGCCGAATATGTCCAGGATGCTGATGCGGTGGGCGTCGTGGGTGCCGCCCTTCTGGACGATCGAGTTGATGCGCGACACCAGCCAGTTGAAGAGGCCCGCGTACAGGGCCTTGGCGAAGGCGTCCCTCGCGTCCAGGGCCTGGTCAATGCCCAGCGGCGTGTGCAGGCGCTCGGCCCGCGCCTCTGTGGTGCGACTGGTGACGGCCCGGTGCAGCCCCTCGTCGCTGATGTGCAGCAGGTGGGCGGCCCACTTGATCTCCGCGTCCGAGCCGACCTCGACCCCCTCCTGGCCGTGGCGCAGCTGCCGCCGGTGGAAGTAGACGTTGCCCAGGTGCAGCACGGCGGCCAGCACCCGCACGATCCCCTCCCGCTCGCCCTCGGAAACGCCCAGCACCTGCATGGCGCTCTGCAGCGAGGCCCAGTCGACGCGTCCGCTGGCGCAGTCGGTGGCGCCCTGATTCAGGTAGAAGTACTTGTCCGCCTCCAGGAGCCCGTACTTGCCCCGCTCCGCCTCGCTCAGCCCGCCGAGCATCTCGTAGAAGACGTGGTAGTTGCGCTCCCCCGGCGCCTGCGTCACTATCCGCGACTTCTCCAGCAGGTACTGGGTGATCTTGGCGCCCACGATGGCACCGCTCTTGAAGTACACCTCCAGGTACTTGCCGAAGCGGGAACTGTTGTCGTTGCGCGCCGTTCGGGCGTTGCCGAAGGCCTCCAGGAGCGGGGCGGCCTCCAGGATCTGCTCTGTGATGACCGCCGATGCGGAGCCCCCGCCGGGGACCACGGCGGCCAGGTACTGCATCACCAGCTTGGTCGACTCCGTCTTGCCGGACCCGGACTCGCCTGAGATGACCACCACCTGGGGCGAGGGCAGGGCCGCGTGGGCCGCTGCCCCGATGGCGAACAGGTGCGGGGGCAGGGCCCCCAGCGGCCTTCCCGCGTACTGCTTGGCCACCTCCAGCCCATAGGCGTCCGGGAACATCTTGTAGGGATTGACGGCGATCAGAATGCTGCCGGCGAACGTGTAGATGAGGCCCTTGTCGTACCGCAGGCGCAGGTTCCACAGCAGCGAGGCCTCGTGCAGGTCGTCCAGCATGGTCATGTCCTCCACCCCACTGCTGCCCAGATCCTGGCGAGCCCGCAGGCTGCCCTCGCCCGGCTGCAGGGCGAACGTTTGAGGCTGTCAAAAGAAACCAAAAATAAATATCACAAAATGTCAGCAAACTTTCGAATCGCATTGCATTCAGACCAGATCAGACCAGACCAGACCAGATCAGATCAGACCAGGTAGAAGATGCTCGTGGTAGAGTTCGGTAGGTGAGCATCCCCAAGGGGGATTTGGGGGTGGGGCCAAAGGGAGGGCAAAGTGTCCTCGACTGTGACATATTTTGTAGCTGGAGGGATGGATGGATGGATGGAGGGATGGAGGGATGGATGGATGGACTCTCACATGACGCGCTATCACATCGCTGCAGAGGGTCGAGAGCCGCTTGACCACCTGCGGGTAGCGGCACTTGCGGCGACGCTGGCGACTTTGCTGGTGTGGGGGCAGCAGGGGCAGGTCCTCCGTCTCCTCCAGGCTGGCCGGGCGCTGCCGCCTCAGTACATGAGGCGAGAGCAGCGCCAGCGATGGTGACTGGGCGGGACTGGGCGTCACCGAACCGCCGCCACCACCGACCCCGCCCCCGCTGCCTCCACGCTGCCATGGCTCCAGGTGGAACCGTACAATGCGCATCTAACGGAACACCCCGAAACCGCGAAATGGATTCCGAAAACTGACTGAAATCTGGCAGAGATCTGGCGTCTGTGGCCGCCGTCTCGAATGCTACTGAAAGGAGTCTTGCTGAAGCACAGCGTCAGCGGCTGCGGCTGCGGCTGCGGCTGCCACAATTTCCCCAAACGTTTCTAAAACGGTTTTCGCTCGATCCAAAACACGTTCTCCCAAAGAGAACGATGGCAAGGCGGAAGGCGGCAGGCGGCAGGCGGCAGGCGTGGACAGACCAGATTCAAGCGGACCGGACCGGACCGGACTCGGCCAGATGACACTCCACTCCTGTTACCCCTTATACAGCGTGGGGGTGGGGGGGGATGCCACCAGAACGCACTCTCCAAATCGAAAGAGAAGCGTCTGAAAAAGCAGCCGCAAACCTGATCCACAAGATGGGATGGGATGGGATGGGATGGGACGGGATTCGCTGACGGGATGCTCTTCGATTCGATTCGATTCGACCGCTCTGATCTCCGACTTCTCTATTCGCTGGCAGCCAGCATGCTTCTACCGCGGAGAGCGAGTGTGTGGGACTTTCTCCAATCGAGTCTTCTCGTGGGGCGAATCGTCAACCAGTTTCAGGCCGTTTCCGTGATACTCGTACGCACTGTGCCACAGGCCTCTGTATGGGACTGTGCACTGTGGAGGTATCACAGCTACCACCGCTGACCCTTTTCGATTTTCGATTCATTCGCTTTAGCCACTTGCCACAATGCCATGCGAGGCAGCTGCACGAGTACTTGGCAGCATTCAGCCAGACATGGTTACATGCCCCGAGAGTGGTAATGCTATAATTAAAGTGTTTTCTCTATGCAAGTATTTGCATTAAATAAATTTCCCATTTAAATTAACTATTTATAGAATTGTTTTTTAACCATGGCAGAACTTTTTTTACGAATTTTTGAAATCTGGTATTTTGTAAAGCTTTTCTTAGATGTAGCGAGCGCCTCTTTTTTCACATACAGCTGTGGCATAAATAATAGCACCATGACACTCAATTTTCTGTATTGAAGGATTTTGTTTAAACAGTGGTATTAATGAACGGTTTAAGAACTAATATATATACTTTAGGATGTAATCTAATGTTTCCGAAAGCAATAGTTTGTATTACAGACTTCAAACGAAAATTATCGAAAAGAAAAGGAATTATTCAGGAATTTAGGCGGCAACAAAAATAAATCTAAAAGGCAAAAATAAAAAATACAACTTTAAAAGAAGCTTTCCAATTTTTCATTAAAGTAGGTTACTTTAGTTGTATTCAAAGGTTAATATTTTGTTTTAAAGCCTTTGGAAGCAACCACAGTGTCTCAGCGTCTTGTCATGAAAGTTCACCTCATTTTCGGATCTTTCCTGGGAGATATGGCTCCACCAATAATGCCTGATACCCCAAAGATCAATATTGTTCCTTGGTTTCGTATTAGAAACATATTTTTTAGCTTTAGCGCAAAGATGTTTCATGGTGTTCATATCTGGCGACTAAGCAGGCCAACGCATTACATTAAATGCACTGATCTCGAACCACCTTCGAGCTTCCTTGCTGGTCTGTTTTGGATCATTGTCCTGATGGCAACCACAAAACAACGGCATTTCCTATTCCATATACGGCAGCATCATTGTTTTCTAATATTTTAATATAGACATGTTGATCCATCATCTATTTGTGCCATGTATTGGACCACCTCAATAATACGAAAAGCATGCCCATGCAATGATACTTATCCCTGAGTTTTTAATGGTTTTATATATTAGCCAGGGGTTTTTATTCTGCATTAGGTGTCGTCATACATAATATCGAGAGCCTTTCCACAAAAAAAAAAAACAATTTGACTTTCTTCGGACCACATGATGTTTCTTTGGGACAACTCCAGTGCTATTTGTGTACTGCACTCACTTTGCCCCATGGCTTTTTTTTAAAGTGGATTTTTCCTCGGACTTTTGGCACTTAATTTATGTTCTTGTATGCAAGAACTAACTTTGCTCATCCTTGGCGATTTTTTATGATCCTTTTTTAGCTCAGGGTCCTTCTTGCTCTCATCAAGCAGTAGTTTGACCGGAAATGGCGGTATCGCGGCTTTTATTCCGTGTGTTTTTTGTTGGTTGCATGTTTTAAAGCATTGCGAATCAATGCTCAGTGATCAACCAACAATTGGATTCACCTAAAGATAGGTGTCTCCTTCTGGAATAAAAGTTTTGATCCTCATGCTTTTTTCTTACCTAAAGTGCTTTCTAAGGCCCAAAACTACTTTTATTTTGTTAAGCTCTTGCAACAATCTACTTAAGACACCGAATTTTAATTTAATTAAGATCATAAAATATCAAAAAGTTCGGAAAAGTACAAGTTTTTATAAAAAACCAATTTTAGTGCTATTTTTGTTGCCGTCCTATTTGGCTTCTTTTTGGGAAAATGGTCTTTAGTAATAAGAACCGTTAGGAATTTGAGAGTAGGCACACTTCTATCAGAGAGGAGACATGTAAACCTAATTGATATTATAGTCAAGGGCAATATATGTTGGTTAGAGATCAGGCTTTGAAACAATAAAGACTGTGGTACCAAAAAGTGCTATTATTTCTGCCGCAACTGTATGTAACTTAAGTATTTTAGATTTGGTTACAATAGGTTTGGTTAACGAATTTCAGCTCCACCGCCTCTCATAGATTTCAATGAAAAATACCTTAAACGACGCCAAATAAATACACCTGTACACAAATAAATAAAGAACCGAACATACATATGTGTAATATAACATGTATGTATATTATATGTATAAAAAAAAAGCACAAAAATCATCATTTTTGCATTTGAACGCTTAATATTTCCCAAAAGATAAGCTGAGGTCGCAAAATGTTTGGGTCAAATTTAGATTAGCTTTTCATAATGGCAAAGTTCATTCCAACCAAATGTAAGATATGAACCTTAGCTATGTGAAAAAAAAGAGGCGCCACTTCTAAAAACTAAAAAAATACAACACTTCAAAAATGTATCAAACAAAGTTCTGCCATAGAAAAAGAAACCATAATTCTTAAAAAAATGTTAAAGCCCCAATTCTATCAGAAGAAGTCTGTTTGGTTTCTTGTGGAAAAAAGTTCGATTTTGTCGAGTAGTGCTATTTATTGATCTCTACAAGATCAAATATGCCCAGACTTGCACCCATTATGAATTCTTATTCCGGCGTTTATTGTGAAATTAATTCCCCGAGCTATCATTTCGACCAGTCAAAATTTAAAGCTTTGGAGCGGCGAAAGCGTAGCTAGCCTTTGCTTAGAACTGTCTATCTACATATCTTTAATTTCAATTAGCTGCACAGTGTTGGAGGCCTAAAAGCCCAAAAACCAACCCAAACCATGAGTTGCAGCAGAAATCGCAGAAAATTGGGAACGCAATTCGAAATCCGAGGTTCCGTTTCCCCTTAAGGCCGGGGAAGGAATAGAACGGGGAATATAGCGCCCTCCAAAATATGCATTAAAACATTACAAATTAATCTCATTAGGGTTTAGCCCCAAGTAAATAATTGATCAAATGAATGGCATGGATTTTGGACTTCATGCTCATGGGAAATGCACGTACATATGTCTGTGTACATATGTATGTACATACATATGTGTATAAACTAATGTCTTTCGATCCATAACCCATTCAGGATGAGGGACATTTAACAAGAAACCCCAATAAGTTGTGGCATAATAACCTTGCTCCCTCTGGAGCTTTGTATGTAGTGCATCGAGTATTGGCGGATAGTTGGTGTGCCCCGCAATGTGTCCCGCAGTCGAGCCAGGCCCATGGACATACTATACGCATTCAACCATATACACATACACATATATGTATATATACATATATTTATGTGCATACAGCAACAGGTTAACGGGCAACAGGCAGTAGTCGAACGGGATCCGAGTCCGCGCAAAGACCTCACTCACAGACACACTCGAGTGCGGACAGCTTTAAGATGTTGCGGCAGGGTTGCCATTCAGTTCCCGATGGTGGCAATACTGTGGCTAGATTGTGGCGCTTGGTACCGCTACCTGCAACGCAATTTCCACTGTCAGTAGGAGGCTGGAGGCCCGGACAATTGGCCTAAGAGAGCGTTCTTGATGCCTCTCTGAGCGGGGACCTCTTCGGTATCTGCTTCTGCTTCTGCTTCTTGCTTCTGCCTGTGTCGGCTACCATATATGTATGTAGTAAGTGCTGTGAGTGGAGTACTTCGTATTTTGAGGGAGTCCACAGCTTGTCCAGTCCAGTGCACAGCTCACAGGAGACAGACTGGCCAAAAAAGAAATCCGATCGACCAATGGCTTCCCCAGTTGATGTTTGGTTTCATTGTGCTGCAAGCCTTCGTTCACACACTTAATTGGCACAACAGCCAACAGCCAACCGCCAACCGCCAACAGCATTCCATAAATTCCATGAGCCCTCAACAAACAAACAAGGCAAGCCAAGCCAAGCCAAGGCAGGGCAGGGCAGGGCAGGGCAGCATACAAAAACCGAAACAGATATGAATTTAAGCAATCCGACAATCCGACAATCCGACAATCCGGTCTCGACTAGTAAGTGAAAATAGTGAAAATCTTTCATGGCTCGCCCTGGCGAAACCGAAGCCAAATTGGAAATGCAAACAGGGGGGCCACGCACCACGAAGGTGCGAAGTCTTACGGGTAGTCACCCTCGGCACAGTGAGTACAGTGAGTACAGTGAGTACAGTGAGTGGCATACGTCTACCCACCTTTCCTTTGATCAGCGCCTGGACGACGATTACTTGGGCGGCTCGATGCACCTCCTGGATCTCTCCGGGTATGGGATGGCCCATGCCCGGGTCAAACCAGACCAGATCCCCTTCGCCCCAGTCCATGGCTCGGCTGTCTTCTGCTCCGCGCTCTCTCTCGCTCTCTCTCTGACGTCCCCTGTGGTTCTGGTTCTGGTTTTGGTTCTGGTTCTGGTTCCAGCTCCGGTCCTCCCCTCAGGTCAGAGTTCTCAAATTTGGATCTCCGTGGCCTTCCGTCGCGTAGGAGACAATGATAATGATAATTACAATGTCTGTAACTAAGTGCCTCTGTTGATTGTATTGGATTGGATTGGATTGGGACTGGTCCTCAAGCCGCTCAATACATTGCTGTAAGAAAAAGAAGAAGACACAGAAAATAATTTGCTTAGTGAATTTCAGTTTTCTCAAGGTAACAAAAAACTAAGCAAAATCAAATTTAGATATGTAGGTAGGTAGGTACACACTCGTATTTCAAACGAATGCAAGTAGGAGTAGAGTATTCGAGCAAAAATTCACGTCATTGTGGCGCCTTTCTACGAAGCGCCTCGAACTTTTGGGAACATTCAAAATTGTATACCCATGCACCGTGCACCGTACACCGTACACCGTGCACCGTGAGGCTTATCCGGCACAGGTCTCCTCTCCTCCAAGCTCCCCCCGCTTTTGCCATTGCCATTGCCTGTTGGTATTGTCTGATAGTCGTGATCGTTGCAATTGTGAGCGCTTCATAGTGGCAGCTCGGGGGCACTGACGCGAAGGCCGCTTAACGAATGAAAGTGCAGACATTTTGTTTCTTTTGTACATATACATATACATATACATATCTATACATATGTATGTATATGTTTTTTATTTCTTTTCTCTTTAATACTGGGACTGTCGGACTGGTACTGGTACTGTCACCGACACCGACACCGAAGCCCAATGAAATGCAACAACGGAGGCGAACGACCACCAGAGACAATGACAACAGCGACGCGACTACAACATTTAGTAGTTGATCGCATGATTACAGAACGGCCGTGGGGAATGGGCTGATCATGTGCTACAGTGCACGAGTTATATTTTTTATGAAAAGTTTATGGAAACGGGATTATCCCTGCGACATTGGCCCTGCGTCCGTTTTCACTGAGATCTGAGCACATATTTGATCCGTAGGAATCGAGCACATCTTTTGAATGGAAAGGTCCACCGGGACCCGCCCCCACAAAGGACGAAAATCTGTGGCATCCACATCCACATCCAACATCGTAGAGAATTAGCATATCTACCAGATTACCGAGTCAGAATCAGATCGCATCAATATTATAGCCAGAATGAATAAATTAATTTTCAGTAGCTAACCCACCCCTTTCCAACGATGCCGCGCTGCTCGTTCTCTCTCTCTCGCCCACACGCACTGCCTGCAGGGTGCGGCCTCTAGCGGAGGAGATGTAGAATCTTTATTGTAGATGTACAATACTGATAAAATATTAAAAAATTCACCATAAATCATAAATTCTATGTATGTGAAGTATGTATGTACATATGCATGTACATACTGACTAAGTACCCGTATAAAAGTAGAGTCGCGGCTACAGAAGCGACACACAACGTTCCCTCTCGTCTGTTTTATACAATTTTTATACTCGCAGGTTTCTAAGGATTTTTCGGTATTTAACAAAGTTATAAATGCCTATAGGAACATACCAATAATTTCGACCCAACTGTCCTTGCTTTTGAAAGGATCCTCAAATCAAAATACATATTTGTATGAACAGAGTATGAAAGAGTACTTAATAATTTTATTTAATATTTTTTGGAACCTCCTCTTTGTTTTAGAACTGGTCTTATACGCGAATCGACTTTTTTAAATCAGATACAATTTAAGGTGTCTGCTTTCCAATAAAAATGTAAAAATGCTGAATATTCTCGATTGGATTAAGACCAGGACCAAGTGCAATGTCGTAACTGTGCTTTTTTGTTTTGTTTAAATATTTCCCGAAACAATTTAAGGTGCCCTCTGCTTCATAAAATGTATGCATCATTCAAATTCTCGTTTTAATCTTGTTGGCCGGTTTTTTGGGGGCAATGTCGTAACTGTGAAAACCATTTTTTTATTTTCTTTTTGGTTTTGTTTTAATATTGCTTTGAGCCCAAAGAAATAAACAAATCATAAGTATAACATATATGTATGTATGTACATATGTACTATGTAGACGACAGGTTCGGGGGGGCAGTAACTACAGTATGCTGTTTATACCCGTACTCGAAGAGTTAAAGGAATTGTTTTGTGCTGGATAGTGACGCAGAAGGAAAGCCCCAGATCTTGACAGCACAAGCCGAGTCGATATCATCAAACATTTGTATGATCATTACAAACGAAAATCACAATCTAAACGATACGATAAAACTAAAAACGCAGTAGCGTAGAGAATAACCATATCTACCAGATTGCTGAATCTGAATGATATCGGAACATTATTATAGCCGCAATAAAGAAATTAATTTTCAGTTGCTTCCCCAACCTCCTCGAGCACGAGACTACGCTATTCATTCTCTCTCTCTTTCCCACATACTCTGCCCTAGCAATGCGCGACCTTTGCGGAGAAGATGTAGATTCTAAAATGTACAATCTACATTGTGTATGTATAATTTACATTACATTACATAATTAAAATGTAAAATATTTTGAAATTCTACATAAATCATAAGCTCACAAATTTATATACTGACTGAGTACGGGTATAAAAGTAGAGTCGCGTCCACAGAAGCGACTCATACGTCCCTTCTCGTTGTTATTGCTTTTTGTTGTGTGGCCTTTTCTCGGGTAAAACTTTCACCTGTTGCAGGGCAAATACCTTTGACATAAATATTTATGCATGATAATGAATGAAAATAAAAAGAGCGGGAACGTTGTGAGCCGCGGCAAGAACCGCGGCTTTACTTTTACCCGATACTCAGTCAGTCTAGTATTTTTAATCTCACATAAGTATTTACCAAATATATTTTATACGTCTACCTGTCTTAGTATTTTGGTATCACTGTTCGCAAAAGGTACGAATTGATTTGTTGGATAATGCGGGGTGAGAGAGAGAGACAGAGTAAGCGCGTGGATGGGGTAGCATAGCTCTTCAAGCTTGTGGACTCCACAGATTTTCACCAGAAAACTAATACATATGTATGTACATTTATCCCTAAACTTCCAGTTGCGGGTATGAAGAGAGTGGCTGCAAGTGTTCGCATTTGATTTTCATGCGGCTTGACGCAGGCGGTTGAATCGGATTTGGATTTGTGGCTGTAGCTCAGCTAGAGTTTAAGTCCAAATCGGAATCAGAGTTGGGCCTGGCACAGTAACGATGTTTGTTGCCAAATGGACTGACAAGTGCTTACGAATTGGCTGTGTCCATGGGGGAACGGGAACCCGTTTCCGAGCAGCGGCGAGACACGGGCATTTCAGGTAGTCCGTTGCTGCGGCTGCGGCTGCTGCTGCTGCTGCTGCTGCTGCTGGCTTGCCGCTTCATCATTCAACACGTACACATTCGCCCTCTCACTCTCGTCATGTATCTCCATCTTCACCTCACCTCACCTCTCTTTTTCTTTCCCTCTATCGGTCTCGCTGCCGAGCGGCTTTTTGGGCTACACCAACATTGGCGCACAAAAATCTTGGCTCAACTACTAGTTCGACCGCATTCCAATGCTAAGACGTTGCGACGCGTCGCTGCCTGCAGTTCATGTTTAATACCAAGGCACCAACAACTACAACAATAGCAGCTACAACAACAGCAGCAGCACGATCAATGAGCAAATATTCAACGATGTGGAATGACAATCAGAAGAATTCCATTTGCTTTTAATTGTTAGATCATTGGCATAGAAAAATACGACATTTTTGTGGCTCGAGTAGATTTCAAGCATGAATCGGAAATGCGGTTACGCAAAAGTTCTCAGTGCACATACATATGTACATATGTAAGGTATGTATTTTTATGTATGTAAATATGTATTATATGTATGTAGATATTTGTTGTGTAGAAGTGCACTCCGTGCACTCTCTCAAAGTAAAATCAAATGATTTCTATCAAACAGAGGCAGTCCGTCCTGATGTCCCAGAAGAGCATTCCCTCTGAATTCATCGCACTAGTCAGCCAGAATGTATAATATACATACATATGTACATACATATTTATGAAATATTTAGACTTATTTTTAAAATAAATTCATAGAAATTGCCATTGCCATAAATAATTCAATAATTACAGCTGGTAATTATCAGCTCATGTACATACGTACATATGTTCATATTTAGATGCGTATTAAATATTAATATATATATATGTATGTATGTATACTAATTCTATTTCGAAAATGATTGTCCAAATTCGTTGCCTTCGTCGTCGTCAACTTCGTAGGAAAGTCTCTGGTCTCTGGAAAAAGTATCGATACTCCCAGACTGCAGCAGAAATGGGAGATATTATTTTATTCTACTCCCATGCTCTCTCCCCCATGTTCCCATGACCGAATGAAATAGGAGCCTTTGTTCGATTTCTAAAATGATTAGTTATCAACACACATATACTAACACACACACACACACACACACACACACAGTGTGGCGGGGGAAACGTGAACCGCACCTGTTGAAGTGCTTTAAATGCTTAAATGTTAAGTTATGCATAAGCGAGAGTTTATTGTGTGTGTGTGTGAGTGTGTGTGTGTGTGTTGTGTGTGTATGTGTGTGGTTGTTTGGTTGAATGGCTTTTGTTAGCCTGGTTCGTGTGTTGACTGTCTTGACACATTCTTGGCATTGCTGAGAGTCTGAATAGCCCTAAACGGTGGACAGGGTGTAGCGCGGACAGCGTCGGGGTGCGGGGTGTGGGGTGCGGGGTGGCTTGTGGCGGCTTCCACGAAGAGAAATTCGATAGATAAAAAGTATCTCGGTATCTCGCCAAACACCACTCGATCCTCAATACCCAATCCCCAATCATCCACCTGCTGCCACACGCACGCCCAAATGCGATCTTTAATTAGTTGGCTTTTCCTAATTTTTGGTTTGGCATTTGGTTTTTTGTTTGTTTTCGCTTTTCGGATCGTATCTCATTTTATTTTCCCCATGGTAGTCGGTACAGTCGGTACAGTCGGTACAGTCGGTACATACTCGTATTGCGTTTTCCAATCAAGT